CATTCCAGCCCTGTTATGGGTAGCTAAGCGTGTTGTGTGTTTCGGGTTAGAAATGAGACACTGTCTGAGATTATTATCAAGGGAGGTGTTTCTATTATGTATGGTTGTGTTCTGATTCTTGGAACTCTCAATAGGCGTGATGCTAAATAGGTATAGTCTAGCACTAGAATGAGTGGATGTTGCAGTTCACAGTGTTTGTTTTAGGGTCATCTAGTGCTATCGACAGATGCAGGTTGTGAGCTATGTGTGTTGCATTCCTTGTGTTATTTCGCATTTCCGTGATCGAGCAGCTACAGATATTATAACGATTTCTATGACACTTTAAGTCTTTTTGGACTTTTATCGAAGCCTCTGGAGTGATAATGGGGAACTGTTAAGGCATAACTGGATTTAGATTCAAAAGTATTTGAGCGTTTTAGCTTAAGAGGAATGATTGCAGCTGCTTTGTGTACAGTTTTGTAATTTAGTGATCGGGATTCACCGTTACATTAACTAGATATTTGTACGGTTATGAGTCGTGAATAGTTTGATTGAGGTTATGTCCCGCTTGACTGCTCTTAGAGTTGCCAATGATGAAAGTATTAGGGTTTGAAATAAAATTGTTATGGTTGACATGGTTGTCTGCAGACGTGTTGCAAGTGTCTATTGGGTGATCAAGTACACTAGTGCACATGTCTCTAGAGCTAGTTACTCCCGCCGTTTACTCGTGCTTGGTTGAATTTCTTCACTTTGACATTTAGAGCACTGGGCATAAATCACATTGCGTCAAGATCAATCAATGGACACCGTAATGCTTTGTTTTTATTAGACAGTCGGATCCTTCTGGTCCGTGCCAGTTCTGAGTTAGCCGTCGCGCGCCAAACCATGGAAGTACAGCCGCTTGACGCGACGTGGAACAAGTCCTCGCGCGTTGCTGGCTGCAGGACACTAACAGCTGAAACTACTCACGATCGACCCGGGTCAGAATTCAGTAACCTAACCACAATGCGCACCGAAGCACGTAAAGCAGCAAAAAACCCAGCCCTCAACTGGACCGACACGTACCTGATCTCGGTCTGTCTGACTCGGCCCTCAGAGCCAATCCTTCTCCCGAAGTTACGGATCCAATTTGCCGATTGGCCCCACCTAAATTGTTGAATTGCCAAACGCTGTTCACCTTGGAAACCTGATACGAATATGGGTACGGCCTGCCACGAAAATTATACTGCTTCGCTCAGATTTTCAAGAGCTGACAAAAGCGTTCCGGACACCACAAAAATGGTGGTGCTTCACGGAGGGTAGCCCCCTATCTCCGGACAAGCCGATTACCAGGGGGTGGATGAACTCCTAACAAAGAAAAGAGAACTCTTCCCAGAACTCCCACGTCTCCGAGGTCGACTGCATTACCGCGCTGGGCGCACGCCGAACCAAAGGCCCGACGCGCATCAATCTCCGTGGACAGGGTCGGGAATATTAACCCGATTACCTTTTGCTACAGGGGGCTGCAATGCAACAGTACTTTGCAGATTATTGAACAAAGCCCTCGAACGGACAATGTCAGGCACCCCCGTATCTGTTCCGATTTACCGGATCACTTAGGATCGCCTGACCCATGGTTAACTGCTGTTCCCATGGAACCCTTCTCCACCTCGGCCTTCAAAATACTCACTTGAATACTTGCTACAAATACCAAGATCTGCGCCTGTGGTTGCTTCACCTAGGCTTCCCGCGAGCCACAGCGACCCTCCTACTCGTTGCCGTTACTCCATACCTGAACCAAGTGCAGCTTGCCATCACACAGCATAGGCCCAGCTTACAGCAATAGTCCGGTATAGGTCCAACGCTCAAGCACCATCCATTTTCATGGCTGGTTGATTCGGCAGGTGAGTTGTTACACACTTCTTAGCGGCTTCCGACTTCCATGGCCACCGTCCTGCTGCCTAGACCAACCAACACCTTTTGTGGTATCTCATGAGCGTCGTGTTAGGCACCTTAACCGAACGTTTGGTTCATCCCACAGCGCCAGTTCTGCTTACCAAAAATGGCCCACTTGGCACTCACATTCAATGCAAAACTCCAATTAAGCGAGTTAAGCTTCTCATCCATTTAAAGTTTGAGAATAGGTTGAGGATGATTTATCCCCAATGCCTCTAATCATTCGCTTTACCGGATAAAACTGTTTATTTCTCAGAATGACAGCTATCCTGAAGGAAACTTCGGAGGGAACCAGCTACTAGATAGTTCGATTAGTCTTTCACCTCTATACTCACCTTATACGATTGATTTGTACGTCAGGATCGCTACGGTCCCCCACCAGAGTTTCCTCTGGCTTCAACCTTCACAAGCATAGTTCACCATCTTTTGGGTCTCAACGTGTACGCTTTTGCTCCGCCTCGACGGTGCACACTACACGAGGTCACATATCTACGTCATGGGGCGGGCCGGTGATGCGCCCGCTGTTCGCAACCTGGAAAGTACAAGCAAGACAACAGAATCTCACTTCAGTCCGGACAAGCCGAACATTAACCGTCACTTCGCCTTTGGGTTTCGTAACACACGATGACTCGCACACATGTCAAACTCTTTGGTCCGTGTTTCAAGACGGGTCGGGTAGATCGTCTACCACTACACTACAGACTATTGGCCCAATGCAAAACACACACGCAACCGCTAACGTGACGAAGTCAAGCCATCAGCCGACCAGCTGAAGGTAGTAACAAGCCGACAAGACTCGACAATGCCCGAAGGTCTAGGTACGCATGCGGAGCCGCCATCTCAAACACTCCGCACAGATCCACTACAACCGGTTAGTAGCTCACAGCTCATAGATGAGCCAAAGAGTCACCTGCCGGCCCAACCAAGACTGAATACACAAGCTGAATACACAGAACAAGTAAGTGAAGGGGAGCATCAGAACTGAAAAACGTAAATATACAGAAGATTTAGCAATGACGGTGGAAAATGCTGTAAGAGAAAGAAACATGAGACAATTGTATGACATAACAAAGAAACTCTGCGGAAATCACCGTAAACCAGAACGGCCAGTGAAAAACAAGCAGGGCAAAGTATTCACTAACACTGAAGAACAGCGAAACAGGTGGGTAGAACATTTCAAAGAACTCTTGAGTCGACCAGTCCCACTGAACCCACCTAGCACCGAAGTAGCACTCACGGACCTCCCAATCAATGTTGCCCCACCAACAATTGAAGAGATCAGCAGGACCATCAGACAAGTAAAGAACGGCAAAGAAGCAGGACCAGACAACATTCCAGCAGAGGCACTGAAAGCAGACGTAACAGTAACTGCAAGGATATTCAACCTTCTTTTCAATAAGATTTGGGATGAGGAACAAGTACCAAAAGACTGGAAAGTAGGACTTCTGCTCAAAATACCAAAGAAAGACGATCTGGGCAAGTGTGATAACTACAGGGGCATCAATCTTCTCTAAATACCAGGAAAAGTCTTCAATATGGTGTTGTTAAATAGAATGAAGGACTCCGTAGACGCCAAACTTAGAGACCAATAGGCTGGATACTGTAAAGTTCGATAGCGTACAGACCGAATCGCAACACTACGGATCATTGTGGAACAATCAATTGAATGGAATTCATCACTCTACATCAACTTCTTTGACTACGAAAAAGCATTTGATATCGTGGACAGAACAACACTATGGAAACTTCTTCGATACAACGGCGTGCCCCAGAAGATAGTCAATATCATATGGAATTCCTATGATGGATTAAATCATGCATGCAAGAAAGCTTACAGACTCGTTCGAGGTAAAGACCGGTGTCAGGCAAAGTTGTTTACTCTCACCCTTTCTCTTTCTCCTGGTGATCGACTGGATCATGAAGACGTCAACATCTGAAGGAAGGCACGGGATACAGTGGACATCTAGGATGCAGCTGGATGATCTAGACTTCGCAGATGATCTGGCCCTTCTATCCCAAACGCAACAACAAATGCAGGTGAAGACGAACAGTGTGGCAGCAGCCTCAACAGCAGTAGGTCTCAATATACACAAAGAGAAAAGCAGGATACTCCGATACAACACAACGTGTACCAATCCAATCACAATTGACGGAGAAGATTTGGAAGATATAAAAACCTTTACGTATTTGGGCAGCATCATTGATGAACAGGGTGGATCTAATGCAGATGTGAAGGCACGGATCGGCAAAGCAAGAGCAGCATATTTACAACTGAGGAACATCTGGAACTCAAAGCAACTGTCAACCAACACCAAGGTCAGGATTTCCAATACAAATGTCAAGACAGTTCTACTGCATTGGGCAGAAACCTGGAGAACTACGAAAGCCATCATCCAGAAAATACAGGTGTTTATTAACAATTGTCTATGCAGAATACTTCGGATCTATTGGACGGACACGCCAAGCAACAACATACTTTGGGAGAGAACAAACCAGATTCAAGCGGATGAGGAACTCAGGAAGAAGTGCTTGAAGTGGATAGGACACACATTGAGGAAAGTACCCAGCTACATCAAAGATAAGCCCTCACATGAAATCCTCAAGGTCGAAGGAGAAGAGGAAGACCAAGGAACACATTACGCCGAGGAATGGAGACAGACATGGGAAGAATGAAAAAAATTGGATGGAACCAGAAAGGAAGGGCCAGGACAGAGTGGGTTTGAGAATGCTGGTCAGCGGCCTATACTCAATTGAGGGTACTTGCGTAAGTCTGTAAATGGACGCAAGGGATGCGTAGCTTGGCAAACATACTCGTGATCTGATGAGGATGCGTGACCGAGAGCCTCCAGCCAGAGTGTGTCCAGTAAAACTAGTCAGACCACTATCAATTTTGAAGACTGACGGAACTAATTATTTTGAGGATTTACCTCTAAAAGGGGTTAGTTGCTTCTGCCTACTCACGAATTAATAAAACACGTGGTTGAGTATATGTTTTCGGCATTTTGTATGTACAAAGTACAACAATCTACAAAAATAAAATATATCCTCTTCTGTCTTTCAATTACAATTGACCTTCATATATACAAATGTCAACGCAGACAAATCAAGCGCGTAACGTAGTTGGGTTCGAGGTATCGGATATTGGGGGTCTTCGGAGAGTGTTTGCAAAACCAACTTTTAACAGTGAAAAATGTGAGGAAGACATGATTCTCCGTCTTACATTTTTACAAGCTTCGCTCGTTAGTTCTAACCCTTAAATACCAGAGTTTATAAATTTATAAACTCTCCCAAGTTAATTTGGGAAATTGGGTAGTGTATATCCTACCATGATTGGATGCATTGTCATCTCACTAGAGTTTTGAGCCTTCCGAACTATCGGAATCCTAGTGAATAAAATCACTTTAGTTATATAGTTGGGTGTAAAGTAAATACAGTTAGACAATTGCCATTTGACAGCTAACTGTCACATGGCCTCATTTCTGTTATTTGTAACTCGTAATTATTTTATATAATTTTTAACCCCTAAATGCCGTGGTACGGCCGGGAGTGGAGAGACTCAAATCGCCCTCTCGAAATGCTCTCACGTCCACGTGCCTACAACCATTGTCAAGGGAGTCCTACTCACTGCCTCTTCGCGGTATTACTGTTATTTACGGAATTGAGAAAACGAAAAGCGAATATCTGGAGCTCTGGCCGGGTTTGTGGACACAGAGATTCTACCTAGGTTGGTAAACCCTAATTCCAGACCAATGATGCACATGGGCTCCAGGATCCAAGGGCATATGAACCAATCGTTGGTCACCGGCAACCATGGGACTGCATCTCTTTACGTTGCTCCACTGCCTTGTAAATTAGACCTTTAGGCCAAAGGCTCGGGGTGTGACCCCTTAAGAGAACCACCTGCTTCGGTTTGGACACCTGGGCAGTATCCTAGCCCTCACACAAATCAAATGATTTATGTGGCGCATATCTATTTGGTGCCTTTCTGTATATATGTTTATGTGTTGAAGAAAAATAAATTTTAACTCCAGAAACTTCAGCAAAAGAATATCACTTTGGTTCGCTTAACAATTCTAATATTTTTGAATTCTTCAGTTGCGAAAAATGTATCCAAAAATGGAGATACGGCTACTAGCAATATGCTGGAAAAAGTTAACATTATATCCTCTGAAGCTGCCAGCAAGATGAAACGTGCAGTTTTTGAAAATTACAAACTGTTTATTAAGGCTGGTAAAGCCGCTAGCCAATTAGAAAACACAATGCACCAAATTCACAACGAATTTACTGAGAAGCAACGTGTAATGAATACTCTTACTGAGCTATCTTTATTTAACGGTAAGATGTTCTTTTCTAAGTTGCTTGTTTTTCTGTATGTACATTGCACTAGATAGTTCAGTGGCTTATTATCCTAATAGAGTAAACTGAACTTTCAACCGAGATGTCCAGTATCTGTAGCCACTACGATTCAATTAGCAGTATATTTACGATTAGTCTCACAAAGTACGTATCTTTGTTTGGTTACTCCTCAACTTAGTTCTAGTATGTTTACAGTTCATGATTAGGCTAGATCATGAGCTAGGTCATGATTTTGATATTGATATCGCTTACGGTTAATCTACTCATGATCTTCAGTGGGCGTAACCAGTAAAGCAACCCAATTATTTTGGTTTATGACAGTACCATATGGTTTGTGTTTTCTTCCTAGTACACTATCTCAATAGTTAGCTTAGTAGCTTTCGTAAGAAGAGCATCAACTTAGTGTTTACTCATTCATTTGATCATAGAACAGTTAGTGAATCTTATGAGTTATGTGGAGAACCTGTTTAAAATGATTACCGCACCAGATTTGTATGTTTGTATTTTCACAAATGAATAAACTGACTCCTATGTTAATGAACTCTTGTAATCAGTCGATTGAATAATTAGTGTCGATTTTCCATTGTTTTTATAAGTTTTTTAAAGACGTTTCTTTTGCTAAACCGGATATTGTGATTCCATGAGGTTGGAAAAGTGTTGAAAATACGGCAAAATTAATCTTTGTCGATACTAAAGTATCTCCTGACATTGAAATAGGTATTAACTAATAACTATGTATTCTCACAATAGCCTGAGATCTTTTCATCGTTCATTCTATGGGCTTCTTATGTAATACAAGTGGCTGCACAGCCATCATTTCGTGATCTTCAGATAAATAGTTTTTAGAGCTACTATATTATTATTTGTGAATACACTTATCGACAAGTCATGTAATGGGAGCTTATTAGTGTTCCTTATTTATTGTTGCCCATTTTATGGTTGAGGTGAATTATCAATTTTAAATAGTGGCCTCATAAGGGCCGTAAGTATTGATTACCAGATTATGCTGTTATCATAAACTTAAAAGGTCTTGATTCCTATTCTAATTACTAACGAAGTAAAAGTAAAATCTAACTTTTCAGTATTTTTTCCTCATCACTTATTTTAAGTGAGCTTTGCAAACAGCAATGTATTGCTCACTAATTTCTAAGACGTGTGACAATATTAGATCAAATTGTTTGCTTTTTCATGTTTTCAAGACATTATTACTGATGTATCTGCTTCAGAACGTGCTGTGTCCATATCACAGGTTGATGAAAAAACTGAAAACTTACCCTGTAGTGAGCATTCTGGAATTTCGGCAACCCAATTGGCCGAACTGGTAGAGGGAGCTTCCGTAAGTTTATTTGCTTTCAAAATTTAGACACGTGTAATCTAGATTGATATATTAGATATATTTTTCTTGCATTTGGGATTATTCACTGAATGATGCATTTATAAGCAATTTGAAAAAGGTTTATGAAAGCGCTTGAAATCATTACTTTTATTTTCATCTTAACATAGTCCTTAGAGCTGAAAATAATTTATCGATTGTGTTTTTCGATGCAATCTTTGGTTATAGAATTATCAGTTCAGCTAGATACACTGGTCTTTTACCATATCAGGTTATTTGTTACTAAGTATTTATTGGTCAAAACAAGCTACATATTTGTTCTGGTCACTCGGTTGTTATTTTCCATTCTTTCCAGTAGCCCCCAAATGCCCTGGTATGGCGTTGGTGTCGCACTAAGCGCTAGAGCTGAGGCAGCACTAGTCGATTGGATCCCCATTAACAGTAAGTTATGTGCTGTTAGGTTAGAGAGTTCCATAAAAGTGAGAAGCGATGTCTTTTCGTCATCTCCGCCTATGTCCCGACAGATTGCAGCCCGGATGCAATCAACGGTGAGTTTTACCACCAGTTATCTGTTCTCCAGAAAGTGCGTTCGACAGATATTGTAGTACTGGCCAGAGACTTGAATGCTCAGGTCGGGCGTCTAGGCACAGAAGAGAGTCGTTCAGGTGGCCGATGGGGACTTGTTGGTCGCAGGACAGATAACGGGGACCGTCTACTGCAACTGTGCACAGACCACAACCTGTTTCTGGCTAGCACTAACTTTCGGCACAGTCATCGCCGATGCGTCACGAATTGTTATGTCCGGTTGTCGCTAATTGTTACGTCGGAATCGCTTGTCACTTATACTTGTAAGATGAAGAACCGTTGCAATTCCTATGACGCTAAAGTAAGAACACAAAAACTGGTACAAGTGAAGATTTATTAACCCCAAAACACGACGACGACTCTAGTCGATAATACACTCATTTATGTATTGATTGTACACCTATTTCAATTATTAATTAGGATGGGATCACATGAATAATAGTCACAACAAATCATATGCTACATGTCATGCTGAGCATACTTCATGTTAATTCAATACAAGAATATTTTTATCTCTTCAGGTTGTTGAGGAATGTTAAAAGATTTTCCCAAGTATGATTTACGAAACCCCACGGTTTTTCTTCTAGATTGCAACCTGTTGTTTTTCTCATATGAGTTTTACGAAAGGCAGATTTATTCTACCTGTATGTTTCTATTTATTATGGAAATCTTGACGTCCACTTCCGTACAAACTGTGGTTAGAAGTCTCGACACCTATAATACACAGTTGATATAAGTAGTTATTTGTTATCGCTCATTTTTATAGATCAATCTGGTTTATCCATTTTAATTGGTAACCTTGTGCTGATGAGTTATGAATGTTACTGATTACTGCTAGTCACCATCATAGACTAAAAGGAGGTCTCAATAATACTTTCTACTATGAAGTTCACCTATTTTTAAAGGATGCTTAATTATTCCAATTTACACTTAATACTTTACCCCTATTTCATGCTTTTACGTTACTTCTTAACTTAACACTGGTTTGGTGAGTTCATGCTCCATTCTTTCCTTCATATTTCTAGTGTCACCCGTATCAGTGGTTTAGAAATACAGTTTTGAAACCCTTTTGATCCAATTAGTGTCTATAAATGTGGATAATCTATAGGTATTCGCTTTTAGTTTGAGATTATGTACCCTAGCGACGCCAATTCATTTAGCAGAACTTTCCCGCTGGTATAAATAATCATAAAACAGAATGAATTAAATCCATTGATCAACCATATAAAAGCATTTGAGCAGATTTGAATATGGTCATAGTTATTTAAAAATAAGCATTTTCTTGTATCCGTAATATTAAAAATCTTCGTTTTGTTAATATTTGATATTTTCGAACCAGGTTTTGGTCGGGGATTCAAGTCGTCGTGTTATATTTGATGGGGATCTGCGCGAATTAAGTATGAATGATTTCACTTTTGTTTGCATGGCTCGGGTCTTTGTATTAACAGATACTTTGGTTATTGCATATCACAGTCAATCTGGTTCGTAAGTCTTATTAAAACTAATACTTCAGCTATGAGTATTCACTTATTTCAAGTTATTAGATAGATCAGTTTTCCATTTTCATTTATAGTCATAGTATACAGTTGATATTGTCACATCCCTCTTTGTTTGAATTGTGGTTAACGGCACATGTAATACGATAGACAATGGTGAGCAACCATTGATCTCTCTATGAGTTCCATTTTTATCCCTACCAATCCAAACCATTTTCGTTGAGCATTTTATGTTTATGTAAGATTTTTAATTCCTTAACAACTGCCATTTAGCTAGCGGCTTTAACTTCTGGGGTATATTCGGCTAGGATTTGAGGAAAATTTTCCATTTTACCCACTTCAGTCATTTCATTAGTGTGAACACTTACTTGTGTTCTGTCATAGCAACATGCTTCGAGGTTCTTAACTTTATTGAGTAGAACCAATTCAATTTTTGGAGGATAAATTCGAAACTTTTTAGTGATTAAGACAACCAACGCAAATTGATCATCAAATAAATAGGAATACATTTAAAAGATTGGTCATCACTATCGAGACAGATTTTCATACATCAAGAGTTTACCTTAAATTAAGGCACTGGGCTAGGTCCTATTGTAGAACAAATATATCTGCTATAGATGAACAACATGGGTGAATTGCATTTATACCTAGTAGTCAGTACTTGCTTGTCTTCCTATGTATTTTGCGTAATCAGTGTGTAGGCATTATTGAGGGCTACTAATCAATGGTTAATGTACAATAAAAACATGTTACTTGTCCTAACTTATTTACTCTCAATATATGATGTTAGCTGTAATACATGGAAAGATTATATAGTAGGAAAGCTTGAAGTCAAGAATATATAATATGAAACTTCGTGTTGATTTTAGATTTTACAAGTTATCCTAGGTGTGCCTTGTTAACACAAATTTTACTTCCGTTTACAGCTCGTACCCATATCGTCTTCAGTCAACGTATGATTTGAACAACTTTGCTGTGGCTAATTTTCCTCCCATGGATCGCCTTCAAACTCCAAATAATGCGTTTAAATTAATAGTTTTTCCTACTAATCGTCTTTTCCAAACTGAAACGCCCAGTGACAAGGTATTAATAATGATTGTATCTGCCAAATAATCGGTTCGCTTTAACTTATTTATACGTATTAAAACTACATTCCTTGACATCTGAACAGTAATCAATGTTATACTTGGCTTATTGTCTCAATTACAGTGCTTGGATTTAAAAGTAAATTAAGACAAACTACAATATTTTTCGAGTTGTGCAATTTATGGACACATCTTCCAGCTTGTGATTTTTCATAAACTTCATATATACATACATTTATTCATAGTATTGTCCGAGTTTCCAGTTTTCATCTTCAAACAATAAATCATGTGCTTAATAATGAAATACTGTATGGACTGTCATTCGATCAACACTTCATTATATTAAAATAATCCACGCATTTCAGAAGACCATACTTTTGGTCAATGTTTTAAAAGAAATTCGTTCGTCAAATACAAGTTTATACAATTGAATCTAGCCACACTTTTCGTGTTAAGGCTGTAGATACTAACTGGTAGGGGAAAGGGTTTTCAAATCTGCTTATTACTCAAATGGTTTAAAACAGTCTCCGATATTCCTGTTTCTCCACACATCAGTCCCATGAGATTATGTTTTGTAATATTCTTCAATATAAAACTACAGAAACTAGTCGAGCTGTTTCCTTGAAACGACAAAAAATCGTCAAATCACCATATAAATTTGAATAAGCAATTTTAGGAAACCGTATCAGAAACATCCTCCCCACTAAGCCTCTTATTTTTCACTTGTTTGAAAGATATATATGATTAGTACATCAAGTTAGTTTCCCTGATGTAACGTATCCACCTGAAAAAAATAAGTTACTGTTTGTCCTATTTATTTCTGTCTAGATAGTTACGTATTATTATTAATTATATGGTTTATAATTGCTTGTTTTGTATCTCTGTTAGAAACTTGATCTTGTGTCTTTTATTTGTTTTATCCATGTAACTCTATTTTTTTCATTTTATTTTAGAAACGTTGGTTAACATTATTGGATGAAGCGATGCGTAAATATCGAAATACTAATTCGTATGTTGCATCAAATTTAAAATCCGATTCCCATATTACTACAAATTCTTATGACGTTTTGGATCACAATTCTATGAAGTTGAGTATGTTACCTCCAAAGGTATCTGCTGAAGCTGTTGTTGCTGGTCATAAAGCTTTGTCTTCCACTTTACCTGATTGTGTAGACCTTTTAACACCTATCGATAAATTGGATTTGTCTGCTAAAAAAAATCCTTTTGATGATTCCCATGAAAGTAAGTTTCTTTGGTAAATGACACGCCATATTTCGTTAAAATGTAAAACTCATTTTCTGTTGTTAATGTAATTCGTCTTCATACTCGTTCACCTATCATTTGTGCGTATTTCATTTCTATTGTTCGCTCATATGCACTTGTATAAAAATCTTGCTATTTTGGCGCTTTCGGGGTAAATAATACATAATTCATTCCATGACGATAACAGTACATCTCAGGAAGTTTCCAAATAATTTGTTAGCATCATTATGTTTTAGCGGTCCAGGGCTACATTTTTAAAATTCGAATCATGTCAATCATTGTCTTCCGTATGAAATAGCAACATTTGAAAACTTCTGAAAATCAGGCAGTATCCATTGTGGCACGAAGCTTATCAATCACACATCATCAATTATTCTGTAATATAATAAACTGGAAACCAAATTCTCTATATTTGCTTTATTCGGCGCAATTCATCTCTGGTTTCATCCGTAGATATCCATCCTCCTTTTTTAAGTATTAGTGTTTTATAATGAAAGTAGTTTCTCACTCTCAGCAACCTCACATTTAATATTTATTTCAAAGTAAGTTTTCCGAAGTTGTTACTGAAGGCTATTACTTGTGTCATCAGCCACGATTGGGCAGAAATATCCATTAGGATCATTAGATAACGACTTAGTCATGTTAATAATTACCTAATGTCCGAAAATCTTAAACATTATTTACGGATTCACTTTCTGTAAAGCCGAATATCTGTTAGATAATTCAAACGTTTAGGTCTTCATTCTTGAATGAAGCGACAGATGTCAAATATTTATTGCTTAATTGCTATCGGATTGTAATAAAAGTTCCTCTTATAATTAATCAACGTTTCACGAAGTTGTCTGTAACTATCTTTATGCTCCAATCATTTAAATATCCAATTGTTATCTAACTTCATTTTTCTTATTCATGGATATATGGATGGAATTCTTAAAATAACCTATTTATTGTTTTAATTCTTCAAAATGCACTTATTAAAATCTTAAATTGTTTTCCTTTCTATTGAAAACGTAGCTGTTAAATCTCCCATGGCAAAAGTTGGAAGTCATAAATCTCGACATAATTGGTTATGGGATGTACCAGAAGATTTAGATGTAGCAATTTCTGAACGAAATTTTCAACGTGCTACTAATTTAATTGTAAAAGCTAAAGAATCATTAAATCAAATACTGACTGGAGATATATCAAAACCATCTATGGATACAAATATACAGTCATCTAATTCTAGTACACCAGGTCAAATATCTGATACTGTTGATCATAGATCTAAAACAGATTGGGAGAAATTATCTAAGCGTATTGAACGTAACGAACGAAATCTTACAGAATCTTTGCAATATGAATTAGTATCAGCAGCTTGTAGACATGGTATGCAATGCTTGGAATCTGTATTTGTTAATGTTATTTCTATTTAGTGCTTGATATTTTTAGTTAATTTTAAACCTACTCAGTCATTAACATTAGATTAATGATAACAATCGGTCATTTGAATATAATTGGTATCATATGATTTGATTCTTAATTTCTCCATTACACTATTTCCTTAAAATTTATTTTTCATTTCCGTTTATTTGTTAAAAATATTTCCTTTCTAAAGGCGCTCCTAAATCCGTGAAAGCAGCTGTTTCTCAATTAGGTTTACTTGGTAAAGCATCTCTTGCAGCTGAATTATTTCTAGTTTATCGTTCACAAGTAATGACAAAGTCTTTAACACATGGTGTACATCAAGAGGGCAATCAATTAATCTATTTAAATAAATTATCGCTTACTTTCCATCGTAATTTAGCTGAAACAGCTGTAGAATGGTGTCAAAGTGTAGTTAAACCGTTGGGTGAAATTCTTGCCTCAAAAACTAATGGTATATCACCGCAACAATTTGAAAATATCTGTTCTTTAAGTAAGTTTACATTGTAAGCGTTGCTTAAAGTCACATTATAGTATGTTATTTTTAAAATGTTCTTGAATTATCCAGTCGTTTTATCACATGGAGTTTACAATTTCCCCCATGATGTTAATAAGCTTCCCTTATTTAACATTGTCTTTCATTTCATCTAATAGAAACTGTTCTCCAACTCATTTATTTTAGTTATATATTATTGCTTAGATGTATTTTGTAGTTACTTGTTTGATAATTATTGTTTGTTTATTTATTTGAACACATAAATATTGGTACAAGGGGGCACCAGCTACATATGCGCCACACGATAGTGATGAGAATGGGAAGAGATAAAAATGTATGGTGCGTGTGAAAAGAAAAAAAAGAACAATGATACTTTCAATTGGGTAATAGAGTGTCTTTAATTCCAATCTCAGGGATTAGTACCCAATAGTTACTAAAATATATTGTAATTGTTATTACAAAACGTTTATTTTCGTTTTTAGTTTTGATTGTGTTTTGCATCATTACTACCAACCACTTGATAATTTCTCGCTTTAGGTAATTAATTGACGAAAATATCATTATTAGTTTCATAAGATCCAAGTATACATATACTGTAAACAGTTTAGAATGTTGAACGTAAACTTGGAAATTTTATTTTTTTTACCACCATCGGTTTCGTGTTATCACTGTATAAAACCATCCAAATATCCGATAAATTATCATTTATCAACATTGTGGATGTTAATTAGTTTGTTGGAGGAATTATTAGGGTTTTTGTTATTTTATGTTTGGTTTCGATTTTTCTAGTTACCATTAATTGTCTATTGCAGTCAGGTGGTATATTTCTGGAAACAACTAACTTATCTCCATCGATTTTCACTTATTTTTCTTTATTCCGTCTTACTCTGTTGTTAATTATAAACTCTCAAATTAGGTATCAAAGATAAAGCAGATTTATAAAGTCTTTTTGCATAATTTTAAATTGGTACTTAAATTAACAGATATGGCTTGAGATGTTAATTTCATGATTGGAGGTATCTCTTGTCCAAACGACACAGGTCTTGAAAAATCATTAAAGTACTTACAGTGTCTTCACAGACTGTTCGCTCATAGAACAGTTCTTTTAACTGAGATTGATTTGATTTCAGAAGACAGAACCAGAAACCAATTGATTGATTATTTCTCAGTGGAACAACTCTGTTATTTAATATTATTGTTGTAATTCTTTAGGTATTGACCTTTTAATGTCTTGTATCAGGAATGAAACTGTTAGTTATCACTGTAGATTAGACGACTACTATGTAATGGCTCTTCAGCAAGACAGCCACACTCGGAAATAAGAAAAGAAGGCTATTTTCTTCTTTAACCGATCAGCCTCCTCAATGACAGCTCTCTGCTAATCATTGACAAGTTAAACGCACGTAGAACTGATTCAAGGAACATGTTCTTCGCTTGCTGGTCTTTTAATCTCTTTAGCTGGTTTTCATAATGAATTTACTTTTGTTTGCAGTCTTCAGTTCATATGCCTCATGTCCTCTGCGATCCAAAATGTACTTGCTCATTCATTTATCACTTTCTCACAGTTTTAGATTGTATCAGCTTACTAGACAATCTTTTTTTATCAGTTTTGTACAACGATCCTGAGTGAAATCGATTGCATTTATTCATGGTGCATATTTCGAAACATTTCAATGGTTGTGCATAAACAGGTAAAATTTGTCTCCTCAGATTGTCTTATAGGTTCTCAAGAAATAAGGTTTAACACATCTTTCTTCCTTACATCTGAGTTGCTGGAGGTGTAATGATTTGTGTTTTGTGCGCAGAAACTATTATGGTTCTCAACTAAACGCCTTATTGATGCAGCTACTGAATGAGTCACACATTACTATTCTTAAGCTCCAAGTGTCTTACTATTTCCAAAAAATAATACATGGTAAATAAATACGACCCTGATAACCGACCAGATAGTTTTCAGCGTGTTCTCTCTGAATTTCAATGCAATGGTTAAAATTCTCAAAACGACAATTAAGGTAAACTTTGACAGTCAACTGTGCTTGATTTACCGGGGCATCCAACATTTCTCGATAACTTTGTCAAAAAGCCAATTAATTGATAAAAAAAAAACATATGATTTACAAAAGCGATTATGGTCACCAATACATGGGACTATTTTATTACTCACTAACTTAAAATATTTACAAATCTTGGGTAGGAAAATTTTCATGCCGTAATCATAAGAAACGAAAGACTCGTTTTATTTTTAAATAGTTTAACAAGATTTATTTTCAAATATTTCCATTCCAATTTTTATTAAAAAAGCTTTGCTTATTTTAAAAAACAAATAGAATTTTATAGTTGGACATTGGATGAGACCGAGAAATTCGGTCAACAACTTCGTGTTCTACTGATCGATAGTCATGCAGTATCATTTTATTCGATGGCTTATGCTGCTCAACGAATTAAGGCACATGCTGATAAGGTGAGAAATTAGTAAAATTTATCTAAGAGGACTGAATTTTTTTCATGCCTAAAAGGATGGGTTGATGGTTAGAGTATTCGGATTCAAACCTAGAGGTCATAAGTTCTAACATTGCTCCGCCTAGTGCGACTTAGACAACTGCGTAATATTACTCATTAACTCACACAAAGGCGTGGTTCAAACCCAAGGTTTTAATGTAACTCACTTACCAAGTACCGTTTCTTATGCTAAACTTTTGAACCACATTGTTTTTGTGTAGGCCTAGTGATACCACTTGGCCATCCAGACGGAATTAGGTGGAGAGGCTCCGAGCTATTGGTTGAAATCCGCATAGATGAACCTGCACTTAGTAGATGTGGTTTGTAACCTCTACTATTATTATTGGATATTTTTATTAAGATATAATAATTGTTATTAATTCGCTTGTTAAAAAGCCTTTCAGTTTCTTTGTATACATTTACACATCTAATAAAATATCTGTTTGACCTTAATATGTATTGATATTTGTAATTAGTCATATTCGTAGTTATATTAATTGTTTTTATCTTGTAAAGTAAAAAAAATAAGTACATATTTGTTATCGATCATTTATGCTTTCCACACAATTAATACATGCAGAAAGGAACCCAGGAATATTCTATCATATTTAATCATTGGTCCTTCATATGCTTGGCAATTATGATAGTTCGTTGTAATTCTTTTTTTTTCAATGCACCATTGTATATTGAACTACTATTATACCTAAATTACTATTGTAAATTAAAACAGACATGTATTGTTTTTCTTTGATTAGCTTACTGAATTACTGAGTGTTGATATTTCTTCTACTCTCAATCGAAGCTTATCACGTGCATGGAAACGTGCTGCTGATGAACAGTCACGTTTACTCTGTGAAGCTGTTGAAAATCGTGCAAAAGTAACTATCGTATTTTTCAGTCCATAACTTGCTATTTTAATAATAGAAAACTGATGTCAATAAAGTTTTGCTTACATTAAGCTGCTTCTTGAATGTCGTAAAAGAAAAAGATCAATCTCATAATTACTGGTCAAGTTACAACTGGTTTTAGTCATCAAACTTATGGTAAAAAAAACGAGAGAATATGTTAGTTGTTGTGTAAGATATTTCGGTTCGTTCTCAACCTGGTTCTCCTATGTAGATGTAGAACAGAGGCGTAATACAGTGCTCGTGTTTAATTTTAGCTTGTCTTTGTTACATGCCACTCACCAAACGAGAGTTATATTAAGAATCTTACATCCTATTGAATCATTTAGACTGTGAACTTGACCGCTACTATCACGATGTGGTGATCAAGCTTACTTATTTAAGCTGTAATACTGAAAATTCATATTTATTAAGATCCTAACAAGCTAGAAAAATTGACTTTAGTATTTCAGATTGAAAAGCACCTCTTTTCAGAGTGTAATTAGTTTGGATAAGAAAAAGTTTTGAATTATGAAATCGTACTTTTGGATCAACTGAAATATCACAGTCGTAAGATATTTCTTATAAATAACTCAATCATGTTGTCCTCTCTCTTTGAATAGGAGGGGAGTAATTAAAACTGACGCTGAGGTTTGCAAAACATACCCTTACCGCTTATCTTTTGTTTCCAATGACATGATTCTTTAAAAGAGAAATAAAACTCTCCAAGTACCGTCACATCTAAAAACGCTATGTTTGACCAATGATTAGCAAGTATCGTCTGAGTATCCTCCAGTTGACTAATTACAAGTGTCGGCTATCACTCACTAATTCAGATTTTCTTTAGCTTAAACTTTCCATCTATTCATCAGCAATCATCTTTATCAGTGTTTTTTGTCCTGTCTTCGTTACCGTCTCCGTTTTAGATATCCATTTTATAGTTTCCGCTGTTTTCGAAGTATCATTTCTCGTCGCATTAAATGACAGTTGTTTATTTAGTACTGATGATTCCAACATCTACAGGCTATATCCTATTTAACAATGGACTTATGTTAGGAATCACATTTTAAGATACGGGTATTTGTTATGCTCTTTGGAATGAACACGGAAGATCCACTTGAGGCTATTCACTCGAACTTGTCTAGTTGGTATGATGAATTAATACCAATCTCTCAATGGCCCTATAGGATTATAAGTAATCGGTTCTTGTTAACTGTCCGAAGTATGGATACCATTCAGTTTTGGACATTTGGTGATCAATCGTTTAAACAGTTTTCCTTTGAACGGACCTGTACGAACTGAGAGCACTGTAAATTGGAACAAAACCTATAAGTAACATTTGGTTATACACCTGATTGCAGTTCAAATAACGTAATAAATGAGTTTTACTGAATTTTCTGTAGTATTTCTTCGAGGACTCTAATATTTAAATGTACCTTAATTTAAAGGCTGCTGTACTATGGAACTGATAAAAATGTGAATTGTATTGATTTCATCTTCGGAGTTATGCGCGGACGAATAACTAATAGTAAGTGTCTCTTGCGATTTATTTCAAGTTGAACAATTCTGTCTGTATAACAATGGACCTTATGTCACGACAAAAGTAGCAAACTAAACGTGACAACAATCAGTCAAATGACAGCCAAAGTCACTGTGAAGATATGAATTGAAAGACGTTATCGCTATCATTTTCATAGAAAAATTCCAACAGTCATTTACAAGAAACTGAGGCGTCATTAGCAATTCCGTCGCATATTAACGAATGAGTTGGTAAATGCAACTTTACACTCCTGTTTGCCTATTTTGATTGACTCAATTTTACTCATACACAACCGTGACTGGTGATAATTGTAATATAAATAAATGTTCACACTACCATACACCACACCACGGTATATTCTGATATTGTTTACAAACATATACATACACTTCTCTGTTGAACGTTTAAAATAAATTTTTCATTCTCTATTTTGTAATCACTTAATATACACGTGAAGATTACAGTTAAAGTACTTGTCAGTGTATATAGTGTGTTTCTGATTTATTTTCTCAGCAAGAATCTTGGGAAACTTTATCAAATCTACCTAAAGGGGAACAAGATAAAATCATTGCAGATCTATTGGAATTTGGAATACTCAACCAATATACCGCAGCTGATTGTAAGTTATATTTTAAACGTGTTGTTCATTCATATATATAAAGTCCCTTAATTTATGTCCCCTTATTTATGTCATGAATTCTTGTCAGGTACTTACAATCTAGAAACAATGATAATAATTTATATGTATCAATGCTGAGGTTGGACTTTATAGTTTTAAATGAATCGAACATTTTGTAGGAAGTTAATAATAAATGTATTATTGCGATATTCCAATGAGTAGAAAATTGTATTTCTGACATTTCGTGACTTAATGTAAGAAGTAATTTACATTATGTCACGAAACGTCAAAAATACAATCTTCCACTGATTGGGATATCAAAAAAATATATTACTAATGGTAATAGTTATTTTAAAAAATTGTAGAAATGCTCGAACAGTTGATTTGTGTGATTTCTAAAACACTACCCACCCACCTAAACCAAAGCAGGGAGTTTTCTTAAAATGTACCTCCCTGAGGCTTTGACCTAGAGGTCTGGTCCACAAGGCAGTGGAGCAACGTTAGGACATGCAGTCCCATGGTAGCCAGTGACCAACAATAGGTTCATACACCATTTGTTTCCTTAGGATACTGGAGCTCATGTGCACCAATGTTTTGGAATCAAGGTTTGCCAATTCCTCTAGATGAATCTTCCATATCAGACTTCTACACTACCTTAATAACTTTGGTTTATAACATTTAGTGAGGTTAATATCTTTTTTTCTTTATTCTGTCAATGCTGAACTACTTTTTTCATTATTGTGTCTCTTTTAAACATATTAATTTATTGATCTTTACAGTCATTATTACACAGTCTTATCATCACTTTTCATTTTCTAGAAACTTGTCTTTGTATATTTTAAGTTTTTCTTACGTCTACGCTTTTCACGTTGGTTAACATTGAAATATTTAATGGTTTGGACATTTTGTAAATCCTTCACATTCACTAGACTATATACACTTTCTCGATGCACTTGTGTTATAGTTCTTAGTCAGCTTGATACAATAATTTTACTGCTGAAAACTGAGACACAAAACATAAATACCGGCAAGCATTTTGAAGTATCTCAGTCAGCTACAACGTAGGACCAGGCACATACATGCATCGGTCCAAGTTGCCATACCTCATTAGCACAGCAAAATGAACACCGAATTTATAGTAGTTAATTTAATGGTGGTAATATATAAAAGAAAGATTGTATATAAGGATATAGTACAAGAAGAAAAAATTAGTTCGTAGAAAGAAAGATATGAAGCGATTTTAATCTCAAGGTATAAAGGAAGACAGAGAGTGTATACACCGACTTCCTTGTGATCGATTCTGAGCCATTTCACTCAGAGTTTCCAACCATTGCTACAATAGTCACGTGGACCCCAACCAAGTAGTCTGCATCTACCAACATGGCCCAGGCCAGAAGTTATTGACTTCAAGGACTGATACCACGTTTTGATTTGGCTGCCCCTTAATTTTCTTCCAGCCGTCCCCAACAGTAATCAGGATTGCGCGTCGTGGTAATCAGTTTTCAGGCATACGTAACATGTGGCCCATTCATCTCAGTCGATGAAGATTCACAACCTCATCAACTAATTTACCATCATTCCCTAATACCCTACGTCTAACCTCACTATTATTTACCCGGTGATCCCAGCAGATGCGAGCAATATTTCTAAGGCATCTGTGGTCAAATACTAGTAGCTTACGAATATCTTCTACTCTTAATGGCCACGTTTCGCAGCCGTAATGTAGAGCAGAACGAACTGCTGCGCAGTATAGTCGTCTTTTAATTGATAAACGGAATACACCCATTATGACATTAAATAAGAAAGAAAGATTAGTTCAGCGAAGAGTTCTCTTTTCGGCGAATTCATTTTCAAAGCTGTACAATCGCAAATATATATACTTATTTTTACAGGGTGATAATAATACTGATTACTCTTGTTCTTTTACAGCCACCTGCTTCACCTTCCATCTTCCCTTCAAATCTTGTACCCCCAACCGGTTTGTTTTTATTTCCACGATCATTCCGATTATATTTCATCTCTGTTTCAACATTTTATGTTATTTTATCATGCTGAGCCACCCTTACCCGATGAATATCTAAGCCATTACTTATCAAACTTTCCTTGTTTTAAAAATTTTTTCTAATACCTTTGTTTATTTAACCTTACTGTCACCATGTATAACATAAGTTTATTATCAGTATTATTATCACCCTGTAAAAATAAGTATATATATTTGCGATTGTACAGCTTTGAAAATGAATTCGCCGAAAAGAGAACTCTTCGCTGAACTAATCTTTCTTTTTTAATTGATAGGCGGATATCTCGCCTTCGCCATAGGTGACGTAAGTTGTCAAAAGCCAAACGACCTTTTCGAATCCATGCTGAGATTTCGTCAGACGCAAATCCATTATGGCTGATCAGACTTCCAAGATAAGTGAAGTTGCGACCCGTTCAACTACTTCACTCCCTATCCTTAGTTAAGGTGTTGACGCAGACCAGTCCTGCATTTAGAGGTGGAGAAGCGCATCCCAAACATCCTGGCATTGTTGCTCAGTGTTACCAAAAAATTGCGTCTTATCACCTTCTTCACCAACCTGGACTGTCATCTGCGTATTCTAAGTCAATAAGCGGACATCCTGCTAGGAGATCAATGTCCGAAAATTCAGTCGATGAGAGTGATATTTCCATCAGTATGACTATGATAAAGTTTAACAAAAATGGAGAAAGTGGACAGCCTTGACGGATACCACTTGAGGTTGCAAAATCAGATGACAGTTCGCCATAAGCTCTGACTCGATTAATAGTGTTCGAGTAAAGAGCTTTCACACGGTTTATGTACTTTTGAGGTACACCTTCAAACGAAGTATCTACTATTGATTATTTAAGTCTACAAAAGCTTTTGCAGGTTGGTAGTTTAATTATTTATGTTGCCATGCAGTCAATTATTTGAAGTCTATTTTTTTATCGTTTTTAAGTCGTAAGTAATGAGTACAATAAAAATTATTCTCCCTGTCATCTTCCTTTTCTGATAGAAGGTAACTTGTGGGTCAACAAGCATTTAAGATTTTTCCGTTTTTATTTACAGTCACCGTAAGATAGCCCAAGAAAAGCTCGTTACTTTACTGGTTTATGAAAAGATCACTGGTCCTACAAGCAATATAAGCAAATAAGTCGGTTATCGAACTAGATAATTCAATTTCTGTCATAGTAAACAGACCGATCACACAGATTCATTGCAATTCAAGAATGTGTTATTTTAAAAATGCAACAAATCATAAATTTGCTTCTACATAATTTGTATTATCATACTTTACTATCCTTTTATTATTATTTTTCAGATGGTTTAAAATTAACAATGAGTACATATTACCTAATTCGGTCTCTACGACAATTTATTCAAAGTGTCCATCTATTAAATTGTTCCGAGTTAGATTTAACTTTAATATCGTGTTTCGTACAAACATTAAATTCAGAACTTGATTGTTTTGAACGTGTTTCACCTATTGATATTTCTGATCCGGCTAGAGTAAGTAATCTACGACATTCCATTTTAATTTGTTTACTTGATCTATTTGTTTTGTTAAACCAAAGCTAAGATTTGGTTGATCAACTTAATTTTGTTACAATGTACGTGGTGAGTATTTGTTTAAAATATCTGAATTATTGATAGAAAAACTTTTCATAAACAAATATTAGATGACATAATGACTGTTTAGCAAAGTAAATTGTATTTATATAAAGGAATTCTATACATGTGTACAGAATATTTAATAGAGAAAAAGGTTACTGAATGGGATGGGTGGAAAGTTTGTTGAGATTGTTGGATTTTCCAGCTGACATCACGAACTGCTCTTAGATAATCAAACTGAAAAGCACTGGACATCTATTTCATCCTAGTGTAATTGTTCGATACCGCAAAATGATTTAAGCTATTAACTGCCGTCACAGCTGTTTAACTGTTAGGCGCTCGTTGCGAAACTTGATAGTCTTGTCCTTAATCCCCGATCGGATCATGGATACCCGAAACAATTGTCCGGTGTTTCTTGGTTTTCAATGGTTTTTTTACTAAGATCAGTTCGTGGTGTACAGTAGAAAGATGGATTTAAGGATTTATGTAGAATATAAGTGATTGTCGAATTCCGATTTTGTAGGTCATTTATCAATCGAGTAAAACTATGGCCTAACTACCAGATTCATGTATTGCTTACTATATCAATAATGTAAGTGATATATATATACCTGATTTAGTCACATGAGAATCAGTTTAGATGTCAATTAGTAGTCTCATTGTCAACAGAAGTTTGGGTCGCTTATGCATTAGAAAATCACTTGAGCAGTGTTAGTTGAAAAAAATTTTGTTCATTGACCCTTATAGGAAAAACCGTAACAATTTTGTTCATGAAATTACATGTTCATCACTTTTGTTTGCTTAATTTTCATTTCATGATTTGCGTACATTTCCTTGTACACATTTTGTTTTGTTTTTCTATTTTAGCAATCTATCATTATAATCAATTTAGAATTTTTAATCAAGACCATTGTGCCCAAATTTGGTAATATTTTAAATTGTCCCGAAAATTCAACTATCCAACAACTGGTCTCCAGTTTGAAAACGTCACTTCAAAATATTAAAGGTTTAGAAGAGGAAGAAACAGTGGTGGTGACGACGGCGGCGAAAAAATCGAATGTTGTTGTTGACGAAGAAGGAGGTGATGTTATATAAACCTTTTTTCTCGTTAAGCAAGGCAATGGAAGGGATTCCTTTCCTCTATTTTATTTTCTCTTTTTTTTAAATTAAACTCTTATTTTGGTATGTTTTAATAGTTTGACAGCTGTGTCTTGTTTTATTGATATTTTCAATTTTATTTATTTGAAATAAACATTTGTTTCTTCATTGTGATAATAATGATCAACACTTAAAATCATTGTTTTCAATTTAACCCCTCTGTGTATTTTTGATTGAACGTATTAGATTACTACCTGAAGCATGGTGGAATTATATTGACCACTGACTAGTAACCAGCGTCATATTTGTTTGGTCTTTCAGTTCTAATTGATTTCTATCAATCTAGTCGCAATATGTCCACTACTCCAAGTAGTTCGGCATTTTGTGGACTACATAAAGTTGTTATTTAGTTGAAAGAAGTTGATAAGAAATGCCTGACGTATGTTTCGTACTACCTGGCGCCTGTGGACAAGGCTTACTTGTAATCTTCAGGGTTTTGTATTACTCAGCTTCACATGGGAAATCTAAAATTAACAGTAAGGGATCAATATGTAACATTTTGTCAAATTAATCATAGTGAAACACAGTTATGGAACACTTCTTGAATAAAGAAATACAAGTTGTAAGATAATCAGTCCTCGATGATTACGATTCCTCTTAAAGTCAATTCATCGATTTCAATGTGGTCTTACAAAGATTTCCCATTAGTCAGTGATACTACATCGCCTTCACAGATATGCTTAGTAAAAATTATAATCCTGTTTTTTATATTAAATTCGTGAATTTCAACAAATTTCGAGTGAATATTTCGAAGTGACTTCTTCAAGATTCATTTTACGTAAAAAGTAAACACTGATACTCTATTCGTTTATTGTCAAATCATCAAGACCAAAGTGTTTTTCCAACAGTCCCATAAAATACATGGTAACATGAATTATCATGAACAAAGATATTCTGATTTTTATTGCTGAATAACTCCATTATGTGTTGCGTAAACAAATGTTTGTTGTGATGCGTTCATCTTACACAATAATCAAAGAATTAACATGCAAGGGTATAAGTTTCTTTGGCTAAGAAAACTTTGGGAGTTAATGTTTGTAGAAAGGTTACTGACTTGTAAAAATTACATGATAGGACTTATTAATGGTTAATGTTAATTGCAGTCGCTTGTGAAAAGACGTTTTATTGATCATTTTAAATATTGATTTCTTCATAGCACTTTTTATAAACCTAATTATCTTTGAAATTCCCACGTATATCTACTACCTTTAACTACGTAAATTTTCTATCTGTTTGTTGATGGACCAGCCAGTTAGTGTATGATACAAGCTGAAGTCATTTACCAAAATGAAAGAATAATGATTCAAAATCATATAGTTTGTGTGTATAAAATTTGCTTTATTTAAAGCACATAAATTCTAGTACAATTTGTCACTAAACCAAGAATGCTTCACACATTAATTAATAATATTGAGGATAAATAAGTGTGAACTATACTACAAATAATTAGGAAATAAATAGAAATAATATTTGGTAAGAAGTACAGTCAAGAGCTAATCATTTTCGCCAATGAAGCTCATCTCATTGTTATAACACTACAGTAACTTTGCAACTAACCTCTGTTCTGAACGATATTTGATGATGGTGCACAATCAGGAAGTCATGATGAAGCGACAAATCCCAAATCTACATAGTTATTTTCCATATCATGGCATCATTTCATAGACATACTAGCTCATTGCTTTTTCCATCCACTTCCAGCGTCTGCAATTAATACGCAATGTGGAAATCACTTGGACGATATTTGTAACATGACCAAACCACCAAAAGTCCATTTTTCGCAATCGTGTCGCTTGTTAAGATGTCCGTAATACTATTATGGTATTTTAACCAGATGGTTTATGTGTATATAATCTACGATATTAAACCACACTGAAATTTTCTTAGGTTTAAACCACACTCTTGATTTAGTTTATATATTGATGCGTAGTGAATGAAAACAGTGGCCTATTCTATGTAACGACTAATTAGTCGAGTGAGTTGGTATAGTAGCAACCAAGAGATTGCATAAAACGACATGGATGAACTATAAATAGTGCTACTTTCTCTTGCTCCTTGTCTTAAACTGGATAGAGGGTGTCAGTTTTAGGTATATAACAGAAATTCTTTATTCCAACATTTTTGGAATTATTTTTGTTTGATAATTATGGCTTTTTGTATATGAATATTAATTAGCTTAAAAAAATGTTAGCTTGCTGTACTAATCAGATCATGCAACATTATGGATCACAATCTAGCGTGAAAAAAGTCTACTTCATCACAATTGGCTGCCCAAAAATCAAAGTAATTTGAGAATTGTTCTCGAAATATGAATATTTTAGGTTGTAATATTAAACTATACTTAGAAATAGGCAGAAGTTAAAACATATTAATTAAACTAGCTACTTTAGTATCGAACGTTTTACCCGTCAGTTTAATTGTAAATCGACATGAAACTTCAGATTTATGAACTAGTAACGTTATGCTTAGACAAAAAGATTTACTCTGGAATTTTTAAACAACACACTAAAAAGTCTACAAACAGATGATTTGTACGTTTTTAAAAGAGAAGTAAATCATAAACTAGTGTACACTTAATGGAGATTGTAAATCTAAGTTCTCTAACTCGAGTCAGTTCGTGATCTCAGTAAAGGTCAACAATTTCCATGACCCTTCTTAGTGATGGCATCTGAATAATTCAAACTGTCATCAGTATTGTGTATGAAGATGACGTCATACTGAAGCAACGGACATCACCGATCCGAGGTTTTGTAACCAGAAGGCGATGATGATAGAAAGGAGAAATATTTTTGATCTTGAGCAGATAGATAGGCTTGAGACTACTAGGGTGATTATTTAGATGGGAGGAGAATCTTTCATGCAGTGTGCCGGTTAATTGGTGAAGATGTTTGATCGTGCATCGTCAACCAGTAATGTCCGTTGGAACGAACAAGGTTAATATCACTGGTGAATACATACTAAGCTATTTATTTTGTGATATTTTTCTGTTACATTTATGTTTCAGTCTCTAACCGGTGACAATTTTTCTTAACTGTTCATTCATTCCAACGTATTGAACAAATAGGTTTTTTTTCAAGTTCTCATATAACTTCATTTCAAACAACTATTTCCAATCAATATTTATTTAAATAATAAAATTAATCATTCGTTAGTGTTTAGTGGAATGGCGCAATTCCCATCTCTATTTCACCTACTCGGTGAACAACCTAAGTAATGTTATATTTTAAATTCTGTACTGATTGCTATTATTCATTAACATTCGTAATTGTAACATCTCTCTAAAATTTATTTGAGGTGTGTTCATTCTTATCTAATGATCCTAGTGCCGAAGTTTCATTTCGTACACCCTTGGAAATTTTATCTGTTCGTTGTACGTCTTTGGAGTTTATTTATTTTGTCTACGGATTGGTAGAGAATTTCCTGCACATAATTCCTCTAGTCCTGCTGTAGTGTACTTCAAAAATATAATTGTTATTTTCTTTGGCCCGTCAAATATCACATAACAAATTTGCTAACCAGAATACTGACTTTAATGATCTTTTGTAATGATGCATCAGAACAGCACTGGCAGCATTGAGTCAACTCTGCATTTTCACTGGCCCACTGTATACTATTTTCTCACCTAGTCTAGTCTAGACCATAAATATCGTATACGTCAGATATACTTGCTTTATATATGAGCAACCCACAACACATTACACTATAAAATAAAAATATTAGTTATACAATATCAAGTTAAAAGCTGTTGTGAATAATCTTCCCAAAATCTTTTTTGTTTGGTATCCCATTGTTAAAACTGGGTAGTTTAATAATGTAACTAGCTTAAGAAAATATCCAAAATTGGTTGGGATCTAGTATATTTGTAGTCAAATCGCACTCCAAGAAATACACTATTAGACTTGTACATTTTTTATTAGGCCAATAAACTGAATTCCTTTTAATCACGTGATAATATAATAACTACAGTAAATAGTAGGTTAGTTGTTAAAGCATTTGTATTTCAACTAACAGATCACAGGTTTACAATTCCCTTCAGCTACTCCAGTTTGAACGGACAAATATATTAACCTGGGTTTTGTAACTGTTTTACACTTATTTATTGTTATGGACATGTTATGTGTTTCAAAGTAACTTCAATTGGTAGCCAACTACCTGAATACTTGCAATACCAGACATTCATGTACTTTTTAAAGTCAAACTTCATCATATCAAGCGCGTAGTGAACTTGAACAGATGAAATCCATTATAACTTGTGTATTCATTTGACTTCAAACACTTCTACAACCAACTAATTAGAAATATTATACAGGTAGCTCAGAAAATCTTGGTATAATTTGTAAGCGCACTGAATAGACCTTTTATTTAATTACCTACATACAATTTATAAATGTGCAATCGATAGCCAATAGAATGACAATGAGCTGATATAACAGAATGTCATTTCATTAGCCAAATACAGTTTAACTGGTTTTGTTAATAAATCAGATTCTATATGGCTCAATTTAAAAAAATAAATCATAATCAGATAAATAAAACCTATTAATTAATATTCGCGAAAAACAACACAGCAATATCATAACTACTCTTCTAAACAAATATGTATAAATAATGGATGTATGCGAAATTCAACGACTGGCTTCAAACTAATCAGAATTGATAGTGATACCTATGCATGTATATATGAACTGAAACTACATCCACCTCCTGTTTAACTCTCGCTCTCTATGATAACACGAAACATAACAAAGAGGTTTTTTTCAGGGTTTATACTTTCCAGTTGTTGGCATTTTGAACTAACCAAATCCTCAGTGATAAACAGGCTCTCCTATTAGTCATTTTTCGAAATACTGCCAACCTCTATATTTAACTGGAATAATAATGAACCGATCAATGTTATACCACCATTTAAAACTTGAAATCACTGCATGACCGACTCG